GTTCAAGGTGTCTGTGGCTTCTTTGACCTCAGTTTTCTCAATATCTAATGTGTGAGCAGGAAAGGCAGTCAGACCAAAGAAGCAGCCTGGCTGGACCATAGGCTAGAAAAGCCAGGGCCTATTCAACCTGGATGCCAGTACCCCAGTACCCCAACCTATGCCAGATTTGCTGAGGATGGAAGACAATGGTGGCTCACTTGCATTTGAGACTTAGTGCTCCTGCTGCAGCAGCACTTTCTCCAGGAGGCTGTCTTCCTGGGCTGTGACCTGTTCCAGCTCAGATTTTCTGACCTAGAGGAGGAAGGCAGTTAGGGAACAGGCCTGGTGCAGACCTGCTATGTCAGCTATTGAACCTGAACCAGCTCTATTTAGCTGGACAGTCCAGCATGACCTTTCAGATTAAGTCATCCTGCACTCCACCAGGGAAAAGAGTGAAGAGTGCACCTTGACCTGGATTTTTCTCAGCTTTTAAAATCTGATAAAAGATGAGCTGGGAGCTAACCAGTGCTGCCCAAGAAAGAACACATTTCTCCAGCTGTCTAGATACATTATTTTGGAAAATAAATAACAGTGTAGCAATGTCTGAGTAATAGCTCAGGATATGCATGGCCTTGATTATATAGAGACCAGGTGAATGTGAGCAGCCTAGGAAACTTAATGTAGACCCTCTAGAGGAGCCCACAAAATAAAAGCAGTGAAGGCTCTGATTATTCATACAGCAAAGAAATCTGCCTGGGTTCAACTCCTCAACCCCTGCATCTTACAACCAGAAAAATGTTTTCACAGAAAACATGCACACTGCAGAGAGCATGTAATTAGCAGGAGTGAGCTGCATGCAAGGTCTGCCCAAATATAGGAACTCCTTTTTAAGGTGATGTTCAGGAAGGAAAATAAAGTGTCAAGAGCAGACACTGTCCTCCACTCCTAAACCCTCCTCCTGCTAGGTTTAGGACTACCATAGGGAGTTTGTGGGGAGATAAATGGGACAGAGTACTGAGAAGATACCAGAGAGGTCAGAAGAGAATAAGTGGTATACAATCCCCAGAAACACTAAGAACCAAATGTATTCTTGGAGTAGCTTTTGTTGACTGGGGCAGCACAATACTCTGAGGTGTTCTTTCTCAGGCTGTGGCTGAGAACCATCCAGATATCAAGAATCCAAAAAGGACAGAGATCCAGATACTGATGACTAACATTCTAACCGCTCCTTCTGGCTTGGGCTCATACTTCATCTTGAAGACACTGAAGTGAGGCTGCAGCTTCTCTGCCAGGTCACTTTGCTGGGTGACCAGCTGCTTCTGCTTCAGCAGGTTCTTCAATCTTTCATTTTTCAGGCTTTCTTGTTTCTTGTTTATTAGAAGATTGTGTTCTAGTGAAGGATTGTTTGCTCACATGCACACACACAGAGGCACTCAGGAACACAAACATATACATTTATGTATACATATAAGCACACTGTAATGCAATAACATGTTTAGTTTCTCGGTTAATGCTAATATAAGAAGCAATCATGTTGAAAACAAGGGTAACTTTAGTTGTATGAGAGAAGAACACAGTGGGCATGAGAGATTGGCAGCTCAATCATTGAAGTGCCTATCCTGTAACCCTAATGTACAGACAGGTGGACCTCTGGGGTCCTGTCCTGTTAGCCAGCCCTTCGTAGGAAGTTCCCCAGGCTCTGTAGTGTAGGAATGTTCCCCAGCACAGGACCACTGGATTGTAGTTCACCAGCCCACTGGTATTGTTCACTGCTTCCCCATTGGCCCCAAAGTGAGAAACTTCCTCCAAAAGGAGCTCCCTCTCCACAGGATGCCTCAATTCAGAACCAAAGCAATGAGCACAGGAAACTAGAAAAATCTCCACAACCAGGATCCAAAAGAAACAATTCTTCCCTGTAAGGTGATTGTGTCAGGGAGTTGTTTGAGTAACAAATAGATGACTAAGTCAGGCCAAGTGATTAAATGTATTATTTAATGTTGAACAATATCCCATGGAAGGGTCAACCACGTACTTTTTCACTCATCGATGAACATCTGGATAGTTTCTACTTCAAGACTACTCTGAGGAATGCTGCTACAACCCTGGGTCCCCTAGCTTCTCTGTGGACACCTACTCCATGTTCTGGAATAACTGGGTCACCTGGGGATTTCAGTCCAACTTTCTGAAGACTTGTGTGTGCCTTTTCACTGCATTACACCATTTTAAACCACCAGCAATGGCTGAGTCATCATTTCTCCCAACCCTCTATGAGGCAGATTTTAAGTCAGAATGAACAACTTTGAAGAAAAGCAGCTACTGAGTGCTGCAGACACAGCACATGATGAATGCTTTAGATCATCGTGAGCCTGACAGGGATGCACTGAGATAGCCCCATTCTCACACCACGGCACGGCTATGGGACTTCAGGACTGAGGTGTAACTAGAAGCACACTGCAAGTCAGAATCTCTTAATAAAATCTAGTTCAAGCTTCAAGGCCAAGGATAACTGAGCCAAGGTTAGGCAAAGGTAGAAAATGTGGATGAGGACAAAACAAGGTACAGAGAAGACACAGCAAAGTACCTGACCATTGAGTGTGCAGTCACCATTCACCCAGAGCAGAACAGGGGCACCAAACCTCAGCCAGCCCATCCAGGCTCTCAGACACCTTGATTTTTCACAGTGGCCTCCTCCTAAATGTACCACATCCCTTTGGTTTGCTTCAAGAGTTTCCTTGCAGATAAATATTTTACCTCTACAAATACCTGAAAACCATTGAGTTGCAGGAGATTTTCTGTCCTTTTGTTCAAGGGAGCTACTTTGACATGCCAAAAGATGGGCAGCAGCAAACAATATTTCATTGATTAATGTTGAGTGGGCATAGTACTTTCTCAATAAAATTGGTCTCCATCATCATTAAAGATGTTTCTTGAGCCGGGCGGTGGTGGCGCACGCCTTTAATCCCAGCACTCGGGAGGCAGAGGCAGGCGGATCTCTGTGAGTTCGAGGCCAGGCTGGACCGACATCCTCGAAAACAATACAGAGAAACCCTGTCTCGAAAAACAAAAAAAAAATGTTTCTTGAGTAGGTCAACATACAAATATACATAAATACACAGACACAGAGTTTACAAATACACACACTTGCACATATAAGCACCTCAACACACACACACACACAGCACTTACCCCTATATATCCAGGAATTGTAGGCAACATACATCCCACCCACGCTTACCCCACATCGTCACATATACACACACGAAGGAACACCTCTGCAAGAAATACCCAGCATACAGCAATACCCAGCACACACACACACAGACACAGAGAGGGGGGGATTCCTACACATACATACATACACAGGTGCACAGAAATGCACATCACACCATACACACTTTTGAACCTAGAATGGCCAGGGAGAGGATTGTACCTTGCAACTTTTGTCCTGCATGGGATAAGTAGTGGGTCCTCCATGATCTCTACAAGGCTCTTAGGCTCAGCTAGGCTCTGCTACCCTGGCTACACTTTTCCTTCCATGAACTTTATCCATTCTGACACTCAATGATCCCATAGATTCCAGATTAACCCATCACTGCCTCTTCACTAAACCTACACTGGAGTCTGATAGCTCAAGAGAAAGAAAGTGACATATAGTCAACACCCAGGAAGGTTTCAATAGGCTATAGTGCATATAATATAAATTGAGCCCCAATGTCAGTCAGAAGGAGCCTAGTGATGTCACCTGCAGTGCTTTTCCGGAATGTTGTACTCTGTATAACTATGAGAGGGAATCTTTCCTAAAACACAGCCATACACAGGACATAGTCAGCAACAATGTCATCAAGGAGATACACTGTAGGATTCTGTGCTGAGACCAAAGAGACAAACCAGACATTTCCTGTGATGTGAGCTCTGTGAAGTGAAAGGAAAAACGTCTACTTTTCATTTTTGAAATAGCTGTATTATTTGATTGTTATGTATTACAAAACACATTGATATCAAAACAATAAAAGTAAAAAAATGGCAGAGAAAGCTACTACATCCTTCCTCTTTCTGAGAAATTAAAAGTTGTAACAATTAGATGAGACAAAACAAGACAGAAGGTCCACCTTGGAACATATGAGAGCCAAAGAGTGCTGGCCATCCAGAATAGGCAGGACAGAAAATTTCAGGTTCAGTGAAAGACATGAGCTCAGGGGAATACTGGGTAAGTAATTCTAAGAATAGATTGATCTCAGAGCTGATGTTATGTTGCAACCACTGTCTGACTACTCCTAGTTCTTAAATATTTGATTTTCTATTTTGAATTTCTAGTCTCATGATGTGCCTTATGTGCTGATTTTGCTGACTTCAATGTACTTTGATATACAGAATTCACTTTTCAATTTTGAATTTTTGGTCTCATGGTGTGCTTTATGTGCCAATTTTGATGACTTCAATGTATCTTGATATATATACAAAATTAACTTTTCTAGTTTGAACTTCTAGTCTTATATGCCTTATGTGTCAATCTTGCTGACTTCTATGTACCTTGACATATGTACAAAATTAACTTCCTTACTTCCTCATGTAATGATAAAAGTCTGATGCATGCTTTGAGAAATTACACTCAGATTCAGCACTGTCTTGTGTTCATGTCTGTTTGTCACTCGCCGACTCTTTGCCCACCTGAGTACTGGATCCCTGATTCTCCCTGGCTTGAGGGCCCCTGACTGGGTCTGCCCATGGCACAAGTTGTGCAGCATACTCCAGGTTGTCAGCTTTCTTGAGCCACCACCCATGCTGGGATGGACTCTGGTGATGCAACTGTCTTTGAGTCATTGCTGCTTTTGTAAGCAACCCCAATAAAAAACTCATTATTCAACAAGTTGGATTTTCCTGGTATCCATATACTTTGGTCTGTCACTGGTTCCCTATATGGGGTGAGGAGGTGTAATTTACATCTACCCGGAAACAGTATCACACATTACTCAAGGATTTCTTTTTCATTTTGTGGGAACCCATTAATAAACAGCACTTCATGAATGCTTTCACCTTTATTTCTCAATATGCCCGTGATATAAACATTTCACACATATCATTCAGGAACTTGAGTGGTTTATACACAGACCTGAGTGGATAAAGACATTTAGCCCAGCTAACAACAGAACAGAACATGGCCAGAGGACCTTCACCCACACCTTCAAGGTCCATTATTACTCATTTGGAGAGTTATGCTGTTAGGTGGCCTCAAAAAATGAAATGGGGGAAAGAAGGTTCCTTTTTCCTAGGATCTGGTTGGTCACTGTTAATAGTCAATTGTGGGTGGCTCTCTTTCATTTTTTGGATCAGCTTCTGGATACTGGGGTTAGCATCATCAAATTTCAACCTAGGTCACAAATGGGGGAGAAAATGGTTTCTTGTTGCTTCAAGAAAATTCATTTAAAATTCCCACATACCTATGTTTATACAATGGAGTACTACTCATCGGTAAGAAACAATGACATCTTGAAATTTGCAGGCAAATGGACAGAATTAGAAAAAATACTAATTGAGGTAACCCAAAACCAGAAAGACATTAAAATATAGTATGTAAGTGGATACCAGACATAAAACAAAAGATACCCAGCCTACAATCCATAACCCCAGAGAAGCTTGAACCCTCTTCCAGAAACAGATGAAAGCAGATGCAGAAATCCACAACTAACCTATGGGCCAAGCTCCTGGAGTACAATCAAAGTGAGGGAGGAGCGAAAATATTAACAATGGAGTCAAGACCATAATGGGAAAACCCACAGAAATCAGCTGGCCCAAGCTAGTGAAAAATCAGTGACTCAGGTCTGACAAATGGGGAACCTGCATAAAACCAAACTATACTCCTTTAATATAAGTGACAATGGTGTGACTGGGCAATATATGAGAGCACTGGCAATGGGTCCAAGATGCACAAACTGACTTAGTGGAGCCCATTCTATATGGAGAGATACCTTGCCTAGCCTAGACACAGGGGTGTAGGGGTGGAGTGGTGCCTTGGTCCTGCCTCAACTAGATGAGACAGACTTAGTAGACTTCCTAGAGGAGGCCGTACCCTATCCATGGAGCAGATGGGAGGAGGGGGTAGTGGAGGGCTTGAGAGGAAGAGAGGGAGGGGGAAATGGGATTGGAATGCAAAACATTAATTTAAAAAATGAAAAAAGAAACTATATTACCAAAATACACATAGCACTTTTTAAAAAATCCCATATGCTTTAAATGTCTCATGGGTCACTTTAACACTATACTACAAGGTAGAATTGCATATTGACATTTTAAATTTTATTTTGGTATATGGTACATGCACACATGCCCATGCATGTGTTGATGGACTACATTCCTGTGGCTGCATATAGATGCCAGAGGATGTTATAGGGATAGCTTTTTCAATCAATTCTTTACTATACTGCCACCACCCCCAATTTATTTTGTTTTGTGTGTGTTTTGCCTACATGTATGTATGTGCACCACATGTGTGCCTGGTGCCTGTGGAATCGAAGAGGAGATAGGATCCCTGGAACTGGAGTCACAGATGGTTGTGAGCCACTGTATGGGTGCTGAAAACAAAACCTGGGTCCCCTGCAAGAGCAGCAAGTGCTTTTAACTGCTGGGCCCTCCATCCCCCCCCACTATCTTGCTTTTTGAATCAAAAATTCTCACTGACATCTTGGAGATCACCATTTTGATTAAACTGGGTGGCCAATAATCTGTCTGGATCTTCCTGACTCCATACCCAAGTACTAGAGTTGTAGACCTATATGGCCTAGAGCTTTTATGTGGGTATTGGTGGTTCAAACTAAGGTCCTAATGCTGGCACAGCAAGGGTTTTACACACTAAGTTAACTTACCTACCCCAACATACTGGGTCTCGTTAGCCTATGCTAGAATCAAACTTACTATGTGACTGAGGATGAAATTGAATTTCCATATTTACTACCACACCCAGTTATGCAGTTCTGAGGATCAAATTCAAACAAGCACACTACACTAACTGAATTCCACATTCAACCCTGCATATTAATTTAATAGGGAAAAGTTATCTATAGTGATAGACACTGAATAGTCATGGACCCTTCAGTCATACTCACACTGTAGTTTGAATCAGAGTCTCTGACTGAAACTGAAACTCATAGATTGGCTAGATTTAGTTGTATATCAAGTGTTTGGGACCTGCCTGTCTCTGTAATCCAGTTTTGGAGAGGCAAACAACATATCTCCATGCCTGGCATTCATATCAGTTCTGGGGTTCTCAAACTTGAGTAGCAGTCACTTTACAAAGTAAGCAATCTCCAGAGCCACTTTTTAAATCTGTGCTATTTTGAAAGACCACCTCACACTGTAGTCTAGGAATTCTGGAAAGCCAATTGTAGCAATCTGATCTCAACCTCTCAAGATCCAGAAATCAGGACTGAGCTATCACACCAGGCTCCCACTTTTCTAGAGACCATGTGAAACTTGCAGATTGTTTTCACTGATAAAACAAATGTCTAACAGTTATAGCTTCTTGATCTCTCATGCAGTGTTGGCTTCTATGACCCAGTTTATCCATCAGTGCAACAGAAAGGTTAAGGAGAAGAGTGTTAAGATTATCTGGGGACCACTGGATGTGGTGACCCATGCCTTTAGGCAGAGGCAGGGGCAGGCAGATTTGACACTAGTCTGGTCTGCAAAGTGAGTACTAGGATATCTGTGGTTATATAGAGAACTCTTATATTGAAAAAATTAAATGAAATTATTTGGTGACCAAATGCCGGGGATGAAGCTGATTGCCAGTGACTGATGTCACCAGTACACCCCGTTCAGTAACATTGGGCGTCTCACCTCCACCACCAATATCACCATGTAGGAAACACCATATAAAATAAGAAATAGGATCACACCTGAGTGTTTGAAGGGGGCAAATGCCAAGTTTCAAGTCTTCACAGAATGTCTTAATTGCATCAGTTCCCAAGGAGTTCTGAGCCAGGTCTAGAGTGTTCAGACTCTTGTTGTTTCTGAGAATCTTAGAGAAGTCCTGGCAGTTGGCTGGAGTCATGGAGCATCCACACAGCCTTGCAGATGAAACACAAAACTTAACTCATTGCGTCTTACTCAGCACTGGACCCTGTATACTTCAATAGTCACCTTTCAGGCAAGTTGTGCTTGCTGGTACAATAAGTGGCATGACAGTTACAGGGGCTACCAAAACTTACCAATAAGATTTGAGGCTGATACAAAGGAGGCATTTATAATACTGTAAACATGGTTGGAAGTTCCCTAGTGGGGAATCTGTTGTTACTTCACTAAGCAGTCTTGTTGTCAAACTTTTTAAGGAATATTTGTTTATAACTACAGATCTGTGCTGTTCTTAGATTTAGTCAGAGAAGCTTCTTTTTATAGCAAATATGGTTAGTAAAGAAACTTGTAACTGATCACAATGCTAAGAATAAGTGATGAAGTGCTCAGCTGTAGAGGGCCATCTATATCAACCTCTCTCCATTCAAGGCTTAGGAACCATTTTGCAAGAGGTGAATAGATTAAGAACTGGAGCATGGAGAGGATCAATGTGAAATGATGTCACTTGGGCATGGCATGACCTTTGTACACATGAACTCATTGCAACTATAGTTACCTGCACAAGACCTGTAAATATTAAGCCAGTCAAAATTTCAGCATGGATAAGGGAGGGGCTCCAGGGGTTCCACTCAGTTGATGGAGAGAATATCACATGGTAGATTGCTGATGTCTCCACACCCATGTGGATATGATCAATATTCACTGGACTAAGGGGGATAATTTAATAATAAATAGTAATGATAATGCTAATAATTATAGCAATAACAATAATAAAAGAACGTGAGTTTGAGAAGATTGGTTAAGTGGTCTCAGGAAAGACTTTGGGGTAGTGGAAGGATGGATATGATCAAAATACATGGCATACACATATGAGAATTTCATAGAATAAAAATATGCATTTAAGAAGTAACTCATTAATTCAACCAATGCTATGGTCATTATCCTATATGATAGGCACATGGTTGTAAGGATTCAGCGGTGAGTAACAGCAACTTCTGCCCTCAGGGCAACAAAATAATGTACTATGTAGTATGACATTTACAAGGAAAGATTATGAAAGGAAAGAAGGGGGTATTTGGGGGTGCCAGATCAAGGGTGATATGAGAGAATGAAGAGAAAGAACTGTAGCAATCAGGAGTAGGAGATCTCCAGACAGGAAAAGAGCCTGATATTGACTTACTGGTGTTCTGTTAAACAATGTCAAGTTGAACATGCTGTGTATGTGTATATGATTACACCATTTGGGAAGGCAAGACAGTAGGTTGGAGAGATTGATACCAGCTAGGGATACACAGTGAAAATCCATGAAGCAAGCAGAGAAGTAAGGTCAGGTCAAGGTAACAAAGCATAGAACAGAGTGAAATAAAGCAAAATATATACAGGATACTCACAAAGCAAAGCAACAGCATCAAAGGCAGCTGATGTAAGTGACCCAGAGAAGCCTGTAAAAGATGTGACTATAGGCAGAGGCCAGCCCACAGAAGATGCTCAGCTCATAGCCACATTTTGCTGGACCTGGATAGAAGCCACTGAAGGTTTTGAGCAGAGGTATGATGTGAGTGATGTAAAAGTGATCATAAAAGTTTTTCTATGGAACTGGAGTTGTAGCTCAGTTGATAGAATGAACAAAGCTCCAAGTTTGATCACCAGTACCACATTAGACTGGGCATGGTGGTATATGCCAGTGGTCCCAGCCCTTGAGAGTATCAGAAGTTAAAGGTCATCTTCTGCTACATGATGAATTTAAAGCCAGCTTGGGATATGGGGGTAGGGAGTTGATAATCTATGGGGGAAAATAGATTGGTAGATAAAGGCCAAGCCAGATGATCTGCATTACATCCCTGGGAACCAAATGGTAGAAGGAGAGAACCAGTTCCCAATAGTTGTCCTCTGATCCTCACACTTGAGTAATAGCATATTCTAGCTCCCTTCCCCACAAAATAAATAAGTGTAGTAAAAACTTAAAGTTTAAGAAGAAACCCCACAGAAGAAACAAAGAAGTTCAAATACACCCTTGTGAAATAAACACAAACAACTAGATATTGCTATGTTTGAATTCTAGATAACTGGAACTGGGTACCAAGGTTTCAAAATAGATTGGACTTTAAAAGAATGAAGAGAGGATAACACACAGTAAGGAAATACTCTGTTCAGAGGTATAATTTATACTAAAGATTTTAGGCAGGGGAAAAAAGATCAATTCCATTTTGGACAAAGACTCAATTAACTCAGGAAAGAAGAAAAATGGTATGTTCAGCACAGGATAAAGCATTCTTCCATCTGGAGTTGTCAATTGTGCAGGACACAGAGATGAGAGGCAGCAGAAATGATTGACTGATGTGTACGCAGTACATACATAGGCATGTACACAGTGTTACATATGTAAGATAATAGCTCTGATCATGGGCTAAGTTGAGTCTGTTGCAGATGTTTGAGTAACAATGATAGCTACTTTTCCCTTTATCATGATAGCCATGTTTATAGCAGGCACGCATCATCCTATTTCCTAGAATGTATGGCTGAGATGATACACAAAGGAGGTAGGAGTGACTGGTGGTGTGTAGCAATTTTCTCCGAGATAAAACACCCTGTCTTGGAGGGAAATTCATTAACCCAGGATGCTAGCAAAGAGGTGAAGCAGGGTGCTCTAACGGGGGGTGGCAGTGAAGGGTTTTATCTTCAAGTTCCTTAAACTCAGAAATAAAGCTCAATAACTTTATGGAGCCCCTGGAATGGACAGGTATTATCCCTCACTATGCATATATAAGCAGTAAGGGCCACTAGAGACACCCTTAGACCAGTTGAGATGCCTAGAAGACACATTCTCCAACTTGTGCCACCTACAGGTTTGCAGTGTGCTTCAGATGTCCAGCTTTCTTGGACCACTTCCCATGCTGGGATGGGCTTAGATGATGTGACTGTTTTTTAGTCATTCCTGCTTCTGTAAATAACCACTCACCTATATTCCTGTAAGTGACCCCAAATAAACTCATTGGTTCACCAAGTTGGCCTTACTTTGGTCTGCCATCAGTTCCTTATCTTGCATGACTAGAAGTTTGTCCCCATTTCCCCAAGAGTATTCTCACACAACAAATGGATAAAGTGTTCTTCCCTACTAGTATGCCAACAGGGTATTGTGTGGAATCCAGGGCCACACGTATGCTAGGCAAGCACTAACCACTAAGCTACATTCCCATACCCAGATAGCTGTCACCACTGATACCACCACTCTTCAGCCAGCAGGTTTGCACCACAAATAACAGTGGCTGTCGGTTCCCTCCCTATAACTCTGAGGATGATCATTCAGGGTTCTCATCAGCACAAATTACAATCACAGTAGAGCCTTAGATGTATGTACTGATGCCTCCCCTATCTCCAGGGAATTTATAGGCATTTCTTTGTTTCTGGGAAAGGGAGATACATTTTCAGTGATACAACCACTGTTAAGTTGCCCATGCTACTATAGGTAACTCCTTATCTATGGCCAACCCTTGTTAAACTTACTGGGACACATGCATTCACATACACAAGCACATACACAAACTTACACTACACACATACACACACTACATAAAAATGGAAGGAGTCTGGTTGGGAAGAAGGGGATCTGATGGAAAGTGACAAAATACATAATACACATGCATGGAAATTTCACAATGACTCCATTATAATGCATAACTAATACATACAGCAAAACACTAAAATTAGAAGATAAATTAAAAATACTGATGCCTGACTGCAATAATACTGATGAAAGCTGAGATTTGGAATCAGCTAGGCATGGTGTAATCCTGACCCTTAGGAGGCTGAAAGTAGGAGATAGTGAGTTCAAGCCATTATGTAAACATCTATTGAAATACTCTTATACTGTAAGTATATTTTTTTTATTTGAGACAGAGTCTTGCTATGTAGCCAGGTCTGGCAGTGAGTCACTAATCCTCTTGCCTAACCTGCCTGAGTGATGGGATTTGAGTCTTTCTTGTTTGTTAAAAAAATACTGGTACCTAGACTGTACTCCAAGAATTCTTTGATTCTTCTGTGGTATTTACTGGATACTGAGATTTCAAAAGCCACAAGCATTTATTTTACAAAGTAGAAATTGAACATGGTATACACACTATATTAATTTGTGTTGCAAACACCAGATAACAAATTTTCTTTTCAAATATTTAATTGACAAGCTAGGCAAGGTACATACCTGTAAACCTAACTCTTGGGAAACTAGGACTTGAAAATTGCAAGTTGGAGGACAGCCTGGACTATATAGTAAAACCTGTTTCAAACTGTATGATGATTTTATACGCAAGGTATACAACATGATGATTTGACAGCTCTTATGCATCTAGAACAATAAATAATTTGGTTACCACCACACTATATTAGAGTCCCCAAACTTTGACAGCTGCAAATTTTACCAATATTTCCTTTTCCACCCCAAAGCCTTGGAGACCACCTTCTTACTCTCTGCCTTCTGTTGAGTTTGGCTTTTTAAGTTTTCCTGGCATTCATTGAAGATCTACTGATACTAGCCCAAGTATAACAACCCAAGTACCACCAACTGGCTTTTCATGTTAAGGAAAGTGTGGTAGATACCTATAATGGAATATCACTCAACCATAAAAAAAGACAAGTAATCCTGACATCTGTGACAATCTGAGTGAACTAGGAGGACAACGTGCTGACTGACAACCACATGACCTCACTTCTATGCAGAGCATTATTCTTCACAAGTAGGGTTTGTCATCAAGAGCATTTGATTGATGCTCCAAGCTTGCTTGGGATTTGTAAGACATGATCAAGTACATTCCACTGACCTCATGGCAGCCACAGGAATAATGCCCAACTCCTGTCACTGAGACCTGGGAACTGGGCAGCAGTGGGTGCTTCTACTTGTCTTGATGCACTGAATCTTTAAAATTCTTCAAAGGAGACATTTGTATGTGCTATGTATATATGTAAGTGCATGTGTATAGACACGTGAGTGCCTTTGTATGTGGAGGCTAGAAGTCGACACTGTATCTTCCTCTATCACCACCTTATATATTAAGATAGGGTCTTCTCTATAAATCTGGGGTTTGTGATTTGGCTATAATGACTGCTAATTGAGCCCCAGAAATCCTCCAGTCTACCTTCCCAGACCTGACATTACAGGAGTGCACCACAACCCCTGGCTTTTTAAATGTTCATGCTGGTAATTTGAACCCTGGTCTCATGATTGCATGGCAAGCAATCATTTCCACTAGCTAACTTCTATTTTTTTTTAATTTTACATACATGGTTGTGTGCCCAGGGAGGTCATAAGAAGGCAGCAGATTTCCTGAGCTGGAGTTACAGGTTGTTTGGAGCCACCAGATGTGGGCTTGGGAACAAAACTTGAGTTGTCTGTAAGAACAGCAAGTTATCTTAACTGCTGAACTATCATTTTTCCATCCCCTTGCCAGATGACTTTTAATACTCAGCTAGGGCTGGAGAGATAGATCTGTGGGTAAAGGCACTTCCTGCAAAGTCAGATGTTCTAGGTTGAGACTTCAGATCCCAATGATGAGAGGATAGAACCAACCCCTTACATGTTGTCTTATTGACCTCTATTCATCAACCATAGATATATATACTGAAAGATGTGATACAATATTCAACTGACTTGAGTCAAGTCCTCTGTATTGCTCCTGAAGGCATCTGCTACACTTGACAACTCATTTGAGGTACAGATTACAGTTCAGCAAGGCATTAACTCACCACAGACTTTTCAAGTTACTATGTGGTTCCTTCAAAGCCTCACACAGAAACTTCGCGCCCGCATTTCTGATGCAATTCTGTCCCAGATCCAAGTGCTTCAGACTCGGTGTTTGTCTGAGCATCTTTGAGAGATGGCAGCAGCCATCGCTGGTGATGTTACAGGACCACAGTCTGGAAAACCACATGCACAGGAACAAAAATCAGGAACAAGTGAACCCATTAGTCTATTCTCGGATGATGCGCTTAAACCACAGCCTTCTACCTCAAGCCATGGGTTTTAGCCATGCTTAGAGATGTTGGAATAAATTAGGACATTAGAATGAAATCGTAGAGTGGCTTTCCATTATAGATTTGCAAGAAAAAATACTCCTTGATCATCTTTTCTGTCCCACTTAAATGTCTCCCCCTTCTATAGAGAAGTTGGTAGAAAGTGAATATGATTAAAATACAAAAAATACATTGTATACATAAAATTCAAAAAAAATAAGAAAATAAGGTTAATTGGAATGAGAAGGAAGCTCATGCCTGCTTCTGTCAAACAAGACAACTACCTGTGGCTAAAAGAAAGCAAAGTCTTTAGAAGAGAATCTATAACACCTCTTCATTCAATGGATTCACATTTTCCAATTGCTTTTTGAATACTTATGCTCATAGGTAAAAGCAGCTCTCATCCCTCAGCAAATAAACCATGAAATTTGTAGTATTTTATGGATGGGCTGAGATCAATGTAAGTTCCTAGCAGTGTGCTTCTACCCAGCAGGTGCTTAATCAATGCGGATAATTGTTATTTCATGGCTGTGTTTGGTTATCTTGGGAGTGGTGACTTTTCTGTGATGGTTATTTTTTTCAGACAGGCTATATGATCCTACCTCATGTGCCATCATGGCTGGACTAATGATAGTGCCTTCTAACATAATTAGACTGTAAATTCAAGATAGGGCTACTTAGTGGGTAGGTTCTTCAAGGCTTTGGATCATAGTGTATTGCTGGGGAGTTCTTTCCTTCCATCTGTCTCTAACCATGAACTCAGTATTTCATCACATGTAAACAACCAAGTAACTATCAGGCCCTATATGCTTTAAAGGTATAACAAAGTTTAAAACTATAGTAAACTTTGCAAATGCTTCCCTTCTTCACTCCTTTCTTCCTTTTGTAATGTTGAGGATGGAACCCAGGACCTTGTACATAAACTGCACTATTTTATTCTTTGGTCAACTTGACAGAAGCTAGAGTCATTTGAGAAGAAGAAAGGACCATAAGATTGGCTTGTAGACAAATTATCTGGGAAGCTAGTCATCTGGGAAGAAAGGGCCTTCATAAGATTGGCTTGTAGGCAAGATTGTAGGGCATTTTCTTGATTAATGGTTGATGTGGGAAGGCCTGGCCCACTCTAAGTCATGCCACTCTTGGGCATGTAGTCCTGGGTTGTGTAAGAAATCAAGTGAGCATGCCAATAAGCAGCACTCCTCCATGGTCTCTGCATCAGCTCCAACATCCAGGTCCTGTCTTGACTTCCCTTCATGATGCACTACAAGGTGTAACATGAGAAGAACCTTTTCCTCCCCAAGTTGCTTTCTGTCATGGTATTTTATCACTGTCATAGGAAGCAAATGAGAGCAAACTGTACTGGTGACTTCCAAAAGAGCCAGTGTTTTAATGTTGCCAGTGATCTCTGTTACCCAGAATAGCAGTGTTACCAATGCTAACACAATCTCTGGAGAGTGGCCAGTACATTCTCACTAGACTTTGGAAATTCTATGAATCTTCTAATTTGAATTGTTAGAGACCACTGAAGAACACAACCAATCAAAATGCAGAGTTCTGGAGCCCAGTTCTAATGGGTATATCTTTAAAACACTCTTACACCTGAGGCTCAGGGAAGACTGCAGAAGAGTGGGTAAACATTGAAAGAGCCAGGGGATCAGAGAGTGTACTATGAGATTGTGTTGCCCATTAATGTCAGAAGCTACACTCAAGAGTTTTGCCAACATGACTGCCCAAACATGAACTGAATAAGGATGATCCTAATGGACAGGCAAAACTAGACAGAAAAAAACATGAGGACTCAACCCTACACAAAGAAGAATAGGCAACTGAGGAAAGCTGGGAGCAGGAGAGGTGGTCTATCCCTTGGAACCACCAACTGGTGGTCCAGTGCCCTGAAAACATGCCTATAATAACACTATATGGTTTCAACAGGTTATATATGTATATATATATATGTACAATCGGTAAAAATTAGTGACAAGAGGTCATGAATTTGAAGGAGAGTGGGGAGGGATATATGGGAAGATTTGGAGGGAAGAAAAGGAAGGGGAAAATGTTGAAATTATATTATAATATCAAAAATTAAAAATTATATTAAAAAGAAAATGGGCCCTATAGATTCCAGGATGAGCACCATGGTCATACTGAATTTGTGGACAAGTTGATTCCACTGTTATCCATCCCTGAATACTTTATATTACATATTAATAAGAACAGATTTGAAGGGGAAGTCAAGCTGGGTTTGATGGCACATCACTTAGGAGTCTAAGGCAGGAGGATTGTTTTTAGTGAATTCCTCTCATAAAAATATTGAAATAATGTGACTGATGGAGGATGGGCAGGAGTGCTGTGAAATAGTGTCTTCTGGACATGACGTGGCTGTGGCTCACGTGAAGTCACAACACCTGTGGTAACCTACAGAAGACCAAGTCAGGCAAAAATTCTGCATGTATGAAGAAGGTTTCCTGAGGTCCTACCCCTAGCTAGAAGACATTGGTAGTTGGTGGCTGCTGGGGGAGGGAGAGTCACTATTCTTTGGGAGGTGATTACTTATAGGTTGCCCATGCCTCACATGGATGATCCTATACTCAATTCATGTCAGCAGTACTAATTGGGCTTAGTGGGTCATACTTTACAGAAAACAAACAGAAGAACAAAGAAAAATCCAGGCATGGTGGCACATCCTTACAATCCAAGTACTTGGTAGGTGGAGGATCAGAAGTCCAAAGTCATCATCTGATATAAATTCAAGGCCAGCCTGAGATACATAAGATACTGTCTCAAACAAAGACAAAATGGAAGTCAGTTCTAGAAACCAGAGTTCCATCTCAATTCACTATAGAATATTAGCTGATGGAAAAGTCCTGTGTATATGTCAATAAAGCACTGTTGGCCAATAGGGAAGCAAGATAGGTGGGACTAGGAGTCAAGGAGTACTCTGGGAAGGAGAACCACAGGGAGTCACCATGTAGCCCAGACCCTTTTCTCAGTTATGGGGTAAATAGTTAAGTCAGAGATAGCCAGTAAGAAACAAGCAAAGCCAACAGCTTCATAATACAGCATCTTGTGTGTTATTTGGGGACTACAACTTGGCAGAGCCCAGGTGACTGGTGGGGAAAAACCAAAGCGGCAGGCAAGGAAAAGGCTTCACTCTACAATTAGCACTACATATTCATATTCTATAATGGTGGGAATACAAAAATCCATGCTTTACTCATGCTGCATATATCTGTTAGCATTAGGATACTACCCAGTCAATGCCATTTCTTATATCATTCTTACCTGGAAGATCATTACCATATTTTTGATATTTTGAATAATCATGAATTACTTTTACATGTATCCTACTTGAGCATGCATGCACACACACACACACACACACACACACACACACACACACACACACACACACACACACACACCTCCAAAACTTACAGGCAGAGAAGACTTACACCAAGGTCTGTAGTTTACACTCGGGGTAGCTTAAGCTTTCACACAGGATCTTCACTCCATTATCTCCAAGAGTGTTCTTGGCCAGGTTGAGGTGTGTCAGGGTCTGGCTGACCACCAAAATGGAAGAGATGTCCTTGCAACAGCCTTCTGTGAGGTGACAGTTCTCCAACCTATGGATGAATCACACAGCTAGACGACACAGGACTAGCTCTACCAACAATCAGTCTAAGAAGGGTAGATGCTCACAGGACCCTACCCTTTACCTCTTAATTGTGAATATGCATAGATTTTGGAAGAAGCAGAATTACTATCCTTATTTGTGTCTCTTTTGCTGAGCCCACCAAGCTCCAACATGTAGCTCCAAACCCACAGTCTCACAGATGGCTCTGGTTAATCTTGGTGGGTCACAAAACAAAATGAATAGAGATAAATGAGAGACTGTTAAGAGGAAAGACTGGGAGGTAGGGGTAAGAGTGTCAATTATGCATGGTATACATGTATGAAACTGTAAAAAAATCCCACCTAAAAAGAAAACCCAACCAAAATCAAATGAACAAACAAAAAACCCTACAGCTAGTAAAACAGGAGAGGGCATTTCCAGCTGTCTCCAGAAGGTAAAATCCTCAAGTTTTTCCTGATTCCATCACACAGTCATGATCACTTGAGGGATTTAGAATGAGGGAAGCTATCATAAGACCAAGTCAGCCAAAATCTCAGTATGGATGAGGGAAGGGCTCACATTCCTATCCCATAGCTGAGGATATATTGACAGCTGATGGATGCTGGGGGGAGAAGAGTCAAATTTTCTTCAGGGATTGATTTCTGAGAAGTGGCCCATGCTCCAGTAGATTGCCACACTCCAAATTACAGTAAATAAACTCTATGGATTGGGAGGGAATGGTGAAAGAGGATGAGGGAATTCAGAGAAAGGAAAATAGGGAATGAATTTTATCAAATTGCATGTATGAAATTCTCAATACAAAGAACGAGAAGAGCAAAATGTGTAATGCAGAGCCAAAAACTCAGAAGCAGTTATCTGCATCCACAGAGACTCAAATGGATTGCCTGGTAAGTATAGTATCATACATGTCTCTCCTCCCTACAGCTCTAACTCCAAAGAGATGCTCCACAGCAAGAGAGGTGATACTCACGACACCCTCTGCAGTGTGTTGTTTGGTTGCTTCCAAGTGTTACACAGCAGCCTGATACCCTGGTCCAAGAGTTTGTTGTCTGTGAGGTCCAGACATGTCAGGGATTGACTGACTTTCAGGACTTGGAAGAAGTCATTCCATTTCTGAATAGCAGTAGGACAAGAACTCAGACTGTGGGAGAAATGAAAACAAGTATGTTCTTAATGGTTCAGAGAATTATGTAAGAGAGCTTTTCTTCCAGTTGTGAGTGAGTACAGTGAGTGCATAGTGAGCCAGATTAAAAGAATAAATTGCAAGAAACAACAGAACATCAAATCAGGCTTGTAAAAAGCTAACAGAAAGGGCTACTTGAAGTGGTCAGATTGTTTCTGATCAAGCTTGTTCTCCTTGGTTGAGCTTCCCATGGATATTTTCCTACTATAGGAAAATTTACTTCCTAGTTGTCCAAGGGCAGAATGTTTATATTCTTGGGCTTTTTTGTGGTCTTCCTCTCTTGGTTGAGTATGAAAATATTGTCTAGTTGCCTAGGTTCAACCAAGTTTAATTTTCTCACATAAATTTTGACAATGCATGCCTTTAATACAGCGCTCATGAGGCAGAGGCAGATCTGTGGGTTCCAGGCCAGTCTAGTCTACATAGTGAGTTCTCAGCCATTCATAACTACACAGTAAAAATGTCTCATATTTTACTCTTTTAATATTTCATACACACATATATCTTATTCACATCATCTTCTACTAATCTCCACCCCTGCCAACTCAACAAATTTCCTTCCCAAATTTATGTTCTTTTAGCCCCATCCTTAGCTGAAGAGATATTGACATTTGGCAGCAGTTATGGGAGGGAAAGTCACTTTTTGTTTGGTGTTGTAGTCACTGATATGTTGCCTATGCCTCAGTGGATGGCCACACATCCATGTGCAGTGGTGAAGTGCTAATTGTATTGTAATGAATTTATGAATGTACAGGTAAAGTTTTGAGACAGGGTCTGTATAGCCCTGACTGGCCCCAAACTCATTATGTATACCAGGCTACCCTCAAATTCAAAAGATCCACCTGCCTCTGCCTCCCAAGTCCTTGGATCAAAGGTATGCACCACCAAACCAACCTCTATTTTTGAGACTGGGTCTCACTATGCGACTTCAAACTTGCAGAACTCCTCCCTCAGCTTCCCCAGTCCCATGACCATAGGCATGCGGCAGTTTTAATACCTCCATTTTTATGTTGGAAATAAAAGGTGTATCTTCACTTTGAATGTATAAATGTGATATCTGTCACATAGTTAAAATGTACTAAAAATGAAGAGCCTCCCTGAGCCTACACCATAACTATGTAACTAAATTAAATCAAGGTTATGTTATATACACTGCAGATTACTTCCAAAAAACACATGCATTGAACTTAAAATAGAATTTACTTTCATTCTAGGCATTAACTTATCCACTTAAAATGAAAATTGAGTCCCAAGTCAAGTCATACACTGGGGTGATATATTATTTGAGATTTATTAAAGCATGCCTAAGGATTCAGAAAGCAAAGTCAGCCTCAAGCTAGAGAGATCAGGCAGTGGTGGTACACATCTTTAGTTCCAGAACTCAGGATCTCTGTTAGTTCAAGGCCACCATGGCCTACACAAGAGTAAAAAGTAATAGAGCCCATGCCTTTGATGCCAGCACCTCACGTGCCTTTAGTCCCAGCATTAGGAAGACATTTAAGACAGGAGAAAGGTCTCAAAGCTGGCATTCATTCTCCAGCCACATTGAGGATAGGAAAGCATATAGTCTCTAGCCACCTTGAGGAAAGCATAGCATTCTGAGTGATTCTAAGGAGCAGTGAAGTCTGAGGATTGCCCCTTTGGTCTGAGCTAAGGTAGAAGTAAGAGCTAGTGGTTGACTGCTTTTCTGATATCCAACTTGAAGCTTGAAACCCAGTATCTGTCTCTGGGTCACTTATTTATCATGGTACAATACACTTTCACTCCCTGATAATCTTATGAGGAAAAGAAAAAAAGAATTTGCCATGGATGAATGGATGGTATTGACAGAAGTTACAACTTGTCCCATGACTTTTTACCTCATCTCCAAGTCATTTTGGGATGTATGGTAACTCCTCTAGTGACACAAGATGACCTGGTCAAATGGGTTAAAATCACATATCAGAGAAGACAGAAACACAGTTTGTGGTCTTATCCTGTGTTCCTAATGCTGGTTCAAATGTCATGTTAAGATTCGTGGATAATAGGATGGGGTGGTGGATTCACTAATCAAGACCATCTCAATCAAGGGTGATGCCAGGAAATGGCTTAACTGATGCTCTGGAGAAGTCTTTTATGCTGGGAAGGAAGATGGGGCCTTCAAGCTTAAGTTCTGAATCATGACCCAAGAAGAATATAACCACAACCACAAGCACATGACCTGATAGGGTTGTTACTCAGATTCTAGGAGTTTCTTGGTCACAGGGTTATCACACACACACACACACACACACACACACACACACACACACACACACAGCATTGTTTAGGTTGTTCAGAGGCCAGGGAAGATGAAGACTGAATTTTTTTTTTTTTTGGTTTTTCGAGACAGGGTTTCTCTGTGCTTTGGAGGTTGTCCTGGAACTAATTCTTTAGACCAGCCTGGTCTCAAACTCACAGATATCTGCCTACCTCTGCCTCCCAAGTGCTGGTATTAAAAGTGTGTGCCACTACCATCCAGCAAAGACTGAATTCTTTGTTCATCTTCTGGTCCATGTGACCTAAGTGGTAGTATTTTTGTTTTGTTTTGTTTTTGAATAATAAGCAATCTTTCCTTCTAACTTAGACTTTCTATTTAGCAAGACCTGAGATACTTTTCCATGACCAGACTTTCAGGGATGAAGAGATGTACCTGAGATACTTCAGCTTGCATGATGGATGTTTCACAACCCCACACAGTGAGGGAAGTATGGTGCACAGGTTGTCACCTTTCAGGGTCAGATGCGAGAGGGTTTCATAACCATTAAAAATGAGGCACAATTTCTTGTATGCATCAGCTGGGGAGATATTTTTGAGACTGAGGAAAAGAATACAGAGAGGAGATCTTGAGTGCTGATGAAATGGCTCAGTAAATAAAGGTACTTGCCACCAGAGCTATCAATGTCAGTTTGATACACTTGGGACCAACATGGTCAAAGGAAAGAATCAATTCTGGAAAATTGTCCTTTGACCTCCATTCACACAAATATATACATCACATACCTCTCCACAAAATAACAAAGTAATAAACATTTCTAAAGATATGGAATTTTTGATTTTCTATACCTCTACTATAAATAGAAACAAAGGAATGCAGTATGTTTACATTTTACCTTACCCATACATTAAACCACCCCCATTCTTCAAGGAATTTTTGGCCAAAAAGAAAAGGCTTTTTAATCATATAGAATTGTTTTGTTATATGTACACTTTGTGGGATAATTGACCCAATCAAGCCAATTATCATACCCATCATCTCACACATCTACCATGTTTTTTACTTTACAGCTAAAATCCTACACCTCAGAAATGATCTAAAAACATGCTGATTTGGGGAAAGATGCTCCTTTTATTGCAATCATATGATATTCTCTCTACAAGATATATTTTAATAGATTTATTTTTAATTATGTGACTCTGCATGTATGTCTGTTTATGTATGTATGTGTATATACTCATGGGAGTGCATCTGCCCTCAGAGTCCAGAAGGGGGCATCAGATCCCCTGGAGATAATGTTACAAAAATGGATGGAACTCAAGGTCATATTTTGTAAAATATCATTTTCTTTTTTTGTGTGAGAAAACATGGAAGACCCATGCTCTCCTGTCATGTGTGGTGGCATAGGTCTATAATCCCAATACACAGGAGGCAAGTCGATTGTCAGAAGTCTGAAACCAACTTGGTCTACAGAAGTTGTGGGAAAGTCATGGCTACATAGTAAGACCCTGTCTCTAAACCATCCCCTCCAATTTACCATCATGCCTCTCAGCAAAGATGGACTATGCATCATGATATTGCTACTACAGTGACATTACAGCATATGCTAGTTCCAGATCTTACTCATCTCAACTAAAGCTTTGTTTCATTGATCAACATTTCTCCTTAGAAACTATCTGAAGTCCTGGTTTCTTTACTGATTTCCAACACCTACAAAAGAAGACTAAGTAACAAGCCATCTTCCACACATACAAAAAAAAATCTTTTTTTTAATGGGGGGAAAGAAAGAGGCAACATCCATTTTCTTTGAAGTGTTGCTAATGGGCCCCTTTACACAAAGGCCGTGTCCTGTGGAAGACTGTGAGGTGCTCTACTGTAATTAGAATCAGATTGTAGGTCCAGCACAATCCTTATTGTATGAGGGGTTTTATTCTTATACATCAAGAAAGAACAATATGTGTCAGAGAGATGGCTCAGTGGTTAAGAGCACTTGTTACTTTTGCAGAGGGTCCAGGTTTAGTTCCATGTACTCTCATAATGGCTCACTACTGTCTGCCACTCTAGTTTCAGGGCATTGACACCAGACAATCACATGGCGAATATACATACATGCATAAAAAATCTCATAAATGTAAAATTAAAGAAATTTCCCTGAAACCTTTGTGACTCACATCTTTCTAGATTTAAGCCTTCTAGACACACAATCCACAGATGAACATCAAGGAAGACTGAAAAGTTTTCCACACTCTGCACTCATTAAGTTACGGATGTACCTTTCCCCTGTCAATATTTTAACTGACACCTTTCAGTCCAATTTCATTCATTTGCATACATGTCATTAAAAATGGACACACACACCTTACCCAGTTGACTTTCCAAGCTCATGCCATAGGCATATTGCTCTCTATCTCTCTACACCAGCCTGACATGATGCTGCCACTCCTGGGACACTAGATGATACCTGCAAACACTGAGGTAACTCATGACTGTAGGAAGGAAATGCTGTTAATATATGGCATGTGGAGGTCTGGGACACTGCTCCCCATTCTACAATGCACAAATCAACCTTTCTCCTCCAACAGACACATAGCTCAAGTGCCCACAGAGGTCGGGGACTCTGTTCTACTTACAGACTAATGTTGGCCACAGTAAGACTCAAACTGCCTAGGGATCTTGATTATTTTTCTTATGGTTGTTTGTGAACATCAAAAACTGTATCCTGCATTATACTGAAGATACTGCAGGATTCTTCTCTTGGCAAAATTAAGGGCACAACCCCTAAATTCCCTGTATCTTAAGTACCTGGTTAGAGTCTGGGATATGAGTTTGAGAATTTCTTCTAGTACTAAAATGTGAGCACTTTGGTCCTATGCTAGGGGGAATCTTCTCTGGAGATCAGATCCTACTTACACTACTTTCTGGAGATGGCAGGCAGAAGAGGACAGTTTGTCACAAAGAATCTGCAGTGAGGAGCTGCTGAGGAAGCTCTCGCTGATGTCCAGAAAGACCAGTTTCTTATTTGAATGAAACATGTCACAAAAGTCTGTCCAGAAATTTAGCAGGCGTTGGTCATCCTGAGACCTACAAAAAGAAAAAGACTAATTTTCATTTCTACATGTACTCACATGCCCCCTAAATCTTCAGGCATCTTTAGCTTGAGGGAGAATCTTTCATGGGTTTGACATTTCAACAAGTAGATCAGGCAATCAAGACACAAGTTTCCAGGGATCTACCTGTGTCTACTTTGCTATGGCCGACATTCCAGGTATGCACTCCCTTGTGTTTTTATGTGGGTTCTGTCATCTAAATTCAGGTCTCCCCATTTGCCTCAATCTAAGTGATTTAAGGATTGAGCTTAAGGACTGAGCCATCCCCATAGTTTTCTACAAAAGTTCTTGACATTCATCTTTCCTATCAGTATCCAAAGGATGGTTGTTACAGCAGTTTTCCTACACGTCATCCTTACTGGTTCTACTCCACTCCCCTGCCTGTTTCTTTCTGGTCCCCTTTGCTTCTACAGAGTTCCCTTAGGTCTTCACGCAACACATTTTATGACCTCTATTTCTTTTGGTAAGATATCTTTCCATCCCATGACACCTGGTCTATTTTGCTTCTCTGCTTCTGTGATTAAACACCATGACCAAAAGCAACATGAAGAGTAAAGGGTTGATTTTGCTTTTTTCTCTTCCTGATCACAGTCTATGACCAAGGGTGGAAACTAAAGGCAGGAACAGGCCCTGGAGGAACACTGCTAACTGTCTTGAACAACCTGCTTTCTAATACCACCTAGGATGACCAGCTCAGGAATGAAACAACCCACAGTGGGTTGGGCCCTCCCCCACATCAATATGAACCAAAATAAAATGTCCCACAGACTTGCTTACAAGCCAATCTGATGGAGACAATGCCTCAATTTATGTTTTCTTCTCCCAGCTGCCTACAGTTTGTGTTCACTTCACAAAAAATCACTACAGTTGTTTGTACTTTTACAATTTAACTTTCCACATGTGTTTATATACACACATACAAAATACAAAAATTAAAATGTAGAATTAGTTTTTTTTAGAGAGAACAGAGTATTTGTCTGAATCTGGCTTCTTGGCTTAGTAATTTCCAATTCCATCCATTTACTGCAATTGCTATGGCTCAATTGTTTTTTTACAGAACAATGCTATATAGTCATTTTCAGTAGCACAGGGAACTAGAAGACATTATGTAAAGTGAAGTAACTGAACCAGAAGGGCAAATACTGAATGTTTTATCATACATAGAAATTTAAAAAAACATAAGTATTGAAATAGTACTTGAGACTGACAAACATAAGGTAATGGCAGGTTAAGGCAGAATGTATGGATTTGAAGATTTATGATTCATGTGTGTGAGTGTTTTTCCTACATGTATGTCTATGTACCATGTACATGCCTAGCACCCATAAAGGCCAAAGAGGACACCAGATGCTCCTGGAACTGGAGTTATAGACCATTATAAGCACCACAAAGGTGCTGGGGATTGAACTCAGCTCCTCTAGAAGACCAGTTGAGTGCTCTTAACTCAGGAACCATCTCTCCAAACCCTCAATATATCTTTCATTTCTATTTCCATGATGGTTAATAGTGTTGCATACTTAGGAAAAAATAGAAAATGACCTAGGAATGGGGAAAACAAAGTTTTAAAAGATAGGATGAGAGAGAACATGTAACATGAGGACAGGTAGGATTAGTCACTGGAAAAAGCAGCTTGCTGCCAAGCCTGATTATCAGGATACACATGGTTCAAGTGGAGTCCTGTTTTTCTCTGAGAACGAGTTACCCTCTGACTTCTGCACACACATACATAAGTTTAATAAAACTGCATGTGATATAAAAGTGGAAGTGGGGATACCCACAAGTGAAAGTGTTTAAACATAAGATTGTGGGCAGGGAGATGAGGGTATATAGTCAAGGAGAATCAAGTAATATTATGTATAAATATGGTATAAGGAAAGTAATAAAAGAATTGCTTACCAAAAGAGAAGGTTTCAAGATGTTTAACTTTTAGGCTGGCATCCTTAACCCTGCCATCGATTTCACTTTTATTATTAAGTAGGAAGGAAGTCCAGAAGGTATAAATGCCCTACCCTGAGCTACAGAGGATAAGAGACTTCAACCCCTTCCTGCAAAACATGGGATGAGATGGAGAAAGTTGTTAAGACGCCAGGAAGGAAAACAGAGTTCTTACCCTTGATCCCGAGCTGTGGACTCCAACACATCATCATTCTCGGGAAAGATCCCCTTTTCCACTTGCAGGGACACTGTCTGCAGATTTTGAGAATTCTTGAGGCAAAATGAAGCATGCATGAGGTCCATGTTGGTTTTCAAATGCAAGGAGATTTCTTCAAAGAGGGCCATGGCTTCTTTCACAAACCCCTCCTCCTGAGATTCATAGAGACAGGATAAAATCTCTTGTAGATCCATCAGTAATAGAAAGGGTTTATTTTCCCCTGGCTCACACTCCAGGAATTTCCTCTTGACCCCAATTGATATTTGCCAGTCAAAAATGGTTGCCAACTCTTGAAGTCGAGTCTCATTCAAGAGGCCAAATATAAAGAGTAGCACTCCCGACAGGTTGGGGTTTTTCAATCTTGCTTCCTTAGAAAGCATATTCTGCATAATATATTTAGAGGTATCGTTCTCGAGCCCATCAGCAAATGCTATGGCAGCCAGAAGCTGCTGGACTTTGAGGTAGACGAAGGAGTAGCAATAACTGTAATCGTCACTTTTCACGATGTACCTGCACAAAAAAGGGTGCAGTATTTCCCGGTCCAGCAGTAATTCCAAGAGGTCTTTTTTAGAGAGTATGGGCAGCTGTTCCAACAGATTATTAACAGCCAGTAGACATAGATTCTTGAATGATATTTGGAATATATTTTTTAGATAGCTTTCATAGGTTTCTGGTGAGAACATCTTGCAGAGGAAATTCAGGAACATAGAGGTCTGTGACTGGCATATCAGAGCAAGGTCTTCTCCCTTTTTCATCGCTATCTCCAGACAGAGGCAGAATATCAGACTTGCAGCAGGACTCGAGGCCATGTCGTAGAGAGCAGCATTGCACCTCACTGCATTGAGAGCTCTCATTGCCTTTTCTTCCTCTTCCTCCTCCTCCTCCTCCTCGCTGTCCTCCTCCTCACCCTCCTCCTCTTCCTCCTCACCCTCTTCTTCCTCCTCCTCCTCCTCCTCTCCCTCCTCCTCCTCCTCCTCCTCACCCTCCTCATCGTCATCATCACCCCCCTTCTCCTCGACAACCTTGCCAAACTCGCCAAACTCGCCAAACTCGCCAAACTCGCCAAACAGACTAACCTCGCCCTTCTTCTCCTTGCCAACCTCATCATTAAAGAATCTTTGAAAGTATTCCTGTATATCCTGTTCTGAGAAGCCCTGATTTTCTATAAGGAAGGGCTGATCTATCATGAGGTAGATTTGCCGTAAAGTCTGTGTCTGTGTGGTCACCAGCAGTGTGGCATGTGGTGCCATCTTCCTCTTCAGCAAACTACTCAGCAGGACAGCTGCAGGCTTCTTTGTGTTCCAGTCACTGCAGATATCCTGGAACAGAGCTCCTGCTGGGACTCTCAGCTCATCAAAACCATCCACCACAAACAACAATTTTTCTTCCAGAGCTAGGGACTTCTCCACATAATCTCTCCTGCTGGCACTTTTCAGGGAAAGGAGCTGTGCAAAAGTGCAAGACTTAGTATTATTAACTGCCCTGCAGCTGATGAAGAAGGCACATGGGAACATCTGGGCCTGCTTGCTCTCTGACCATTGCAGCATTAGCCTCATTGCCATTGTGGTTTTGCCAGAGTTTGGAGGGCCATGCAACACTATTGCATGAGCAGATGGCATTTTCGCCTTCGGATTACACAATGTAAGGAGTGTTCTGTAGCTCTCAGTCTCCACGTAGAAGTTTTCAATGCATTTAGGCCAGAAGTTAAACTTCCATCTCACTCTGTATTCTTTCTTCCATTTCTTCTTATGCTTGTGCTCTTTACCATCAGTGATAGGGAGGAAGGGATAGACAGAACATGGTTGGTTATTGTGAAAAATCATCTTGTATAAAGTAGGAAAGGAGAATGAGGAACACAGGTCTTAAAGACCAACTTCAATCCAGGTTTATTCCAGCAAGATAAGATTCAGAAATCTTATTTTCTTATTCAAATATGCTTTTAAAATGAGTCCAATTTCAAATAATGAAAAAAGCCTTAATTATGTATATGTAAGTGTATGGGGGCATGTATACATGCATGCAGTGCACAGGCATGCCAAAAGAGGGCATTGTTTCCCCTGGACTAAAGTTACAGGTGGTTGAGAATAGCCCGATATGTGTGCTGGGACCCAAACTCAGGTCTTTTGCAAAACAGTATGCATTTCTTACCGCTGATCCATCTCTCCAGCCCCTGTTTATTTTAGCCTGATGAAATAAAAACCTGAGGAAATTGCTTTGATGGGAAAGTGATCTCTTTATTTAGAACGGTTCAGCTCCCTTTTTACCTTTTAAAATAGTCAGGGGCTGGGGAGATGGTTCACTTGGTAAAGTATCTGTCACACAAACAGGAGAACCTGAGTTCAGTCTCTAACACTCATAAAAAAACCAAGCCTAGTGTGTACCTGTCACCTTAGTGCTATGAAGGTGGGATGGGTGGAGATACCACATCCCCTTGGGCTTCATTGTCAGACAGTCTAACCAGTCGGAGCTCCAGAGCCAGTGGGAGACCCTATCTCAAAAGATAAGGTAGAGAATGCTAGAGGAATACGCCTAATGTCAATTTCTGGCTTCTATGTGTGTACACATGAGTGAACTCATGTTTGCATGTTCATGCACATACCACATCTCAAATTTTCACACATGTATGTATTCACATAAGTACGCATAAGTACTCTTATCTTCCTCTTGTTAATCTTTGTTTTCCAAGACAATTTCTTTTCTATTTTCATGACACCTAACTTTTCTACTTCCAAAACCTTAGTTTTTCCCAGGTTTGTGATGTCTTCCCCCAGTATTTCTTTAACTGCAAATAACAAGAGTATGCAGCTCTCTTTCCAGGTCAGATGCTCTGGGGAGTTGTTTTAAGAAATATTTGCTATATTCAAATTCAATGCAACCTGAACATGGTGTTTCATGGTCATAATTTCCTCACTGGGGAAGCTGAGGCAGAAGGACAAGACTAACCTCATCTGTTAGCAAATTCTCAGTCAACTTGGGCTACACAGATATTATTTTAAAAGTACTATAGAAAACCTCCATGCATATCATTGAATGGAAATTTCAGTGTTAGAAGTGTTTCTTACTTATAAGGTATTGACCAGCGAAGCTTCAGATTCTTCTGAATTAGTACAAGTTTATTGCCACTACTCTTGGATGCTAACCAGAGCTAGACACAAGACAAAAACATGTTTGTGGTAAGACAGAAATCAAACTGACACTGACCTGGAAACTCACTGCCCTCTTGGGGCTTTCATATTGCTGGAGAGTTCTGTGATGTGAGTGCTAGGGGTGAATCACCATCAGTGTGGTCTTACCCAGCTGTGTCCTGACTGCCTCAGTAATGCTCTGCCAGGTCAGTGTCCCTGAAGCAATGATGGCATGCTTGTTAGAGGGCCAAACCAAATGCTTTCTGGTTGGAATCTTAAAGTACTTTATAATTATTTTAAATTATGCATGTGTGTATCCGAATGCGGTTATATCCAGATGCCCACTTAGGTCAGAGGCATCAGCTCCCAAGGAGCTAGGGTTACAGATGGTGTGAGTCAGTAAGATGTAGGTGCTGAGAACTGAACTGGAAGGGCAGCAAATGGCCTTAAAAACCAAGCCACATCTCCATTCCTGCTTTCTGGTTTTGATACTGCCTGCACAGGAAAAAAGTTAAATCTTATATTGTGTTATAAACCTGGTCACAGGACTGTGACTTGGGGGGACAGAGGCCCTCGTGAGGAAACCATTGCTATTACTTGGCTAAATGGACACAATGTGCTTGTCAATAGTTTTCTAAACATCTAATATTGATGTCCGGTTTAGCAATGTTAGTTTTGGTCAGGGAAAACTTTTTTTTTTACATCGAGTAGTTGTTACTAAAGCATTTTGTAAGTAGCCAAGTGCCAAGAGTAAGCGTATATTGAATGATCTTCACTAAATGGGATCGCACGTGCACGCACACGCACACACACACACACAAGGGAGTAACTGGGAAAAGAAAAGGTATCAGGAGTGGAAGGGTGACAAGAGAGGGTAACAAGGAGTGAATAAAAATGCATTATATATGTATGGAAAATGTCATTAAAACCATAATTATATATAGTATACTAGTCAATACCTAAACACCCAATCCAATTTAATTACAAAACCTTGTCTGGTCTTCTTCCAGCAGCATCAGGTAAACAGGCCGGCTTCCCGGCCTGTGCTCCAGTGCCTGCAGATCGCCTGGGACCTGCACAGAGCTCCCAATCCCGGCGGGAGCCAAGCACCCAGACCCCAGGTCTTCTCTCCCACCAACGAGACCAGGAAACCAGAGGACCCAGGGAGACCAGGGGAGTAGCTGTTCTGGATCAAGTACAACAGGACCCAGCATAGGGTCCAGGGGACCAGGTAAGAGGATAAGCGCCCCAGATTCCTGTTCTTCTCCACCCACGGGACCAGCATTCGGACAAGGAATAGAAGAATCACCAGATTATTGGACTTGCTAGCACCCACCAAAAGGGAACTCTGGTACCCAAACCAGTAAGGGGCTCTTTCTGCACCCACTAGAAGAAGAGATGGGAAAGAGACAATACAAAAACACAGTCAGCAACAGAAAAACAAATATGACACCGTCAGATTCTAGAGACTCCACACCAGCAAGACCCCAACATTCCAATGCGGACAAAGCAGAAGAGAACGACCTTAAAAGCACTTTCATGAAAATGATAGAGGCCCTAAAAGAGGATATTGGAAAATCCCTCAAAGAAATGGAAGAAAAAACAAACCAAAAAATGCAAGAAATGGAAGAAAAAACAAACCAAAAAATGCAAGAATTGGAAGAAAAAACAAACCAAAAAAGGCAGGAAATGGAAGAAGAAATGAAGCAAAAAATGCAAGAAATGGAAGAAAAAACAAAGCAAAAAATGAAAAAAATGGAAGAAGAAACAAACCAAAAAAGGCAGGAAATGGAAGAAGAAACAAAGCACAAAATGCGAGAAATGGAACAAAAAACAAACCAAAAAATGCAAGAAATGGAAGAAAGAACAAACCAAAAAATTCATAAAAGGCAACAAACGGACAAACAGATAAACAGAAAATTGCAAGAAGCAATGCAAACACTGCAAGGGTTGAAAACTGAAATAGAGTCATTAAAAAAAACACAATCTGAAGAAAGGCAGAAAATAGAAAAGCTGGACAAACAGACAGGCACTACCAATACAAGCATTACCAACAGAATAGAAGAGATGGAAGAGAGAATCTCAAGTGTTGAAGATACGCTAGGAGAAATGGATTTATCAACCAAAGAAAACCTTAAATCCAACAAATCCTTAACACAAAACATCCAGGAAATATGGGACACCATGAAAAGACCAAACCTAAGAATAATAGGTATAGAAGAAGGAGAAGAAATCCAGCTCAAAGGGGCAGAAGGCATAATCAACAAAATCATAGAAGAAAACTTTCCCAACCTTAAGAAAGACATGCCAATGAAGGTACAAGAAGCCTACAGAACACCAAATAGAGTGGACCACAAAAAAATTCCCCTCGCCACATAATAATCAAGACCCCAAACATACAGAATAAAGAAAGAATATTAAGAGCAGCTAAGGAAAAAGGTCAAGTAACATATAAAGGCAGACCTATCAGAATTACACCTGATTTCTCCATGGAAACGCTGAAAGCCAGAAGGTCCTGGATAGATATTCTACCTACACTAAGAGACCACGGAAGCCAGCCCAGACTACTGTACCCGGCAAAGCTCTCAATCACTATAGACGGAGAAAACAAGATATTCCATGACAAAACTAGATTCAAGCAATATGTGTCCACTAACCCAGCCCTACAGAAAATTTTGGAAGGAAAACTCCAACCCAAGGAAGCTAACTACAACCAGAAAAACATAAGCATTAGAGAATCTCTCTCTACCAACAGCCAAAAGAACAAAGGGGTGAAATTCCACACATAATTCCACCAACAACAACCATCGCAAATCGAAGAAGGATGAGCAATCATTGGTCATTAATATCCCTCAATATTAATGGCCTTAACTCACCCATAAAAAGACACAGACTAGCAGATTGGATTCGAAGACAGAACCCTTCCTTCTGCTGCATACAGGAAACACACCTTACCCTTAAAGACAGACATTACCTGAGAATTAAAGGTTGGGAAAAAATTTTTCAATCGAATGGACCCAAGAAACAAGCCGGAGTAGCAATCCTAATATCTAACAAACTAGACTTTAAAATAAAAATCAAAAGAGATGAAGGAGGTCATTACATACTCATCACAAGTGAAACCCACCAAGAGGAAGTGTCTATTCTGAACATCTATGCCCCAAATACAAAGGCTTCCACATTCGTTAAAGAAACATTATTAGAACTTAAATCTCATCTAAAGCCCCACACAGTTATAGTGGGAGATTTCAACACACCACTCTCACCACTAGACAGGAATACCAAACAGAAACTCAACAAAGAAGCAAAAGGGCTAATAGAAGTAATGACCCAACTGGGATTAACAGATATCTATAGAACATTTCATCCACATAAAAAAGAATATACCTTCTTCTCACCACCACATGGAACCTTCTCAAAAATCGACCACATACTTGGCAACATATCAAACCTCAGCAGCTACAAAAAAATTGGAATAACTCCATGCATCTTATCAGACCACCATGCTTTAAAATTAGAATTCAACAACAACACAAATTGCAGAAAACCTACAAACTCATGGAAATTGAATAATGCTCAACTGCACCATCCCTGGGTCAAAGAGGAAATAAAAAAAGAAATTAAAGACTTCCTT